GCAATTTTATAAATAAACCCACCTGGTGTCGGTTGATAAAGAAAATTATTCAGAAGGTCGTAGGTGGTTGAGACTCTTCTCGCCAGACACCTACATATGTCAAGACAGTCCCATAAGCAACTATCTCGACTCTTAAGCAGATAACGAGAATTATACTTAGTCGAATTACATCGACTAAGAAACTCGTGGAAGTTGTGGAGTTAGAACATTAGGACGACTCCTAGACTCAACCAACTAATAAATAAATCACATAAAAGCAGACAACGAATGTTTGACACAAAAACGGGGTAACTGGTCAAAGACATGCCAACAAAGCCAACCAGGGTCAAAACGTTTAAAAAGGCTAGTTCGAATTTTATAAGAATAGGGCTATAAGGAGTTAGACTTGGATATTTCAATTTAAATTTTTACAGCATATAAAGGGCTGAAAAACACCAATAGAAAATTATTAAACATGCTCCTAACTATTTTAAATAATTTACTCAATATCTGATCAGAAATCAAATTAAATCATTTGAAATAGCTACAGTCCGAATCTAAACTTGAAATTTTTGCAGAAGCAAGATATTCTGAAGGATAGCAACATATTCAAAAATTAGTAATGTTGGACAAGAACTCGATTTTAGATGAATTTATTACGAAACAGCCCAGAAACAGTTTTCGAGTTTTGACAAGGCTAAATTCTACATAAAAATCTCAAATTTTTATCACAAGCAATACAACAGCAACTTGACCTCATATCCAAAAATCAGAATTTTTGGAGCAATGTACGATTTATAATGATTTTAGCAAAAACGGGCTGCAACACGATTTTTCAAAAATCCATAACTCACTTAATACACATCGAAACGACGCAAGGCCAAAGCCGTTGAGTCAAGGACATTCCTAAGTCCAAAGTTCCATAGCACTTCTATGGAAAATAACACATTAACATTAGTTCGACAATTTTCCAAAATGACGGCAATCACTTTGATATCCAATGGCAATTATATATATCAAGATTCACACGAACAAATTACTAACGCATATAACCTAACTCGTATATCAGACGTACAACAAATATTACGTAGTATATCACAACAATACAAGTTAACACATATACTAATAGATTCGAAAATCACCACATTTAATCATTCCATAAATTCTAAAAAATAACAATTAAGAACATGAACATATATAGCCAAAACGAGCGGGATAAGGAGCTCGGGTACGGTTCTCAGGATAGGGGTCACGAAAAGGGGTGAGCTGAGGCTGAAATGGACTACCCGAGGAGGCTTGACAACTTCGTTTGGCTCGCCGACGGAGCTCGAAGAGCGGGACAACAACTAGGTAGCGGTTGAGCTCCTGATGGCGCACGTACGAACAGTGGGACCTGCTGGGACCGCCGGAGGAGGTGCAGTGGTGCTCAAAGGTCGCTCACGGAGGTTCTCTGCTCGTGACAGCCGGTGCACGGTGGTTCACGATTGAGTTCTGAACGGAGCTAGCGAAGGAGCAGGGGATCGTGCGGCGATGGTGGCGACGATGATTGCTGCAACTGTATGGGACGATCGCCGGTGCTTTGTTGCTCGTCCGTGAGGTGCTTTGATGATTACGGTGGTCCGATGATCAGAATAGAGGCGGCAACCGGGGCTGCAACTCAGGGAAAATTTCAAAACTAGTCCCACAGGTATAGGGGGGTGACATTTTTGGTCCCAACGGAATTCAAAAAATATTAATAGTCCCGCAGCTTTTGAAAAATAATCAAAAGTA